ATATACATTTAAACTTAAAGGGGAGATGATGGGGGCCTCTTGATGTACGATGTCATAGTTTATTTTAAACACTTTGGTACCACTGCTCTTCATAATATAATACACACAGGTAATAAATAATAATATAATATACATTATACCTAAAACCTACACCAAAAAAACATAACCATTCCCAACGAATTGTACGTTTATATATATATATAGTTTCCTGCTTCAACAGACTATGCTATCATAGGTAATAAATTGCTATGGACATAACTGTGGTGAGTTATTCGAGTATATAGACCTCATTATGTAAATAACGTGAAATCTCAAGTATTAATGTATTATGTTTAATGAATTACCATACACCACCGTATTGGTAGCAGGTACATGTATGGTGGTATACTTTGGTACGGAAGCCTAACTAATACATGTATAACTATTTGAATTGCTGGGTGTCGGTAAATAGTAAATACCTGAGTAAATGGTACGCAGTCATTATTGGCCATACTGGTATAAACTTTTATACCAGTCCACCTGACTTCGGATTTATTTTTTTCCTATTCGATCACTAAATATACAATACAGGAAAAATAGTTCTAAATCATGTATTACAATTGTTCATAAATACCTATAGAACTGAGATTTTGATGCAAAGGCATCTTTTTATCAGATAGTGTTTTGAAACATTGGTTCGTAAGTATAAAATGTGTTTTGAGTGTTATAGATAATTTTAAAGAAATTTTTTTTTTTTGCATCTTTCACAATTTGCTTGTATAGAATGAACGAAAATTGTTGCGATTGACAAAAAACTTGACTAACTGTTGACAGTACCAATAATAAATTATATAGCACAAAAAGTTATCGTCGATAACAATTTTACTATAGATAGACCTTACCGATAAAATTATTACCGTTATATACCTATTATACCTWTTATGTGTTATCAATTTTATCACGCCATACATAGGTACATAAAAAAAAAAAAATACACTACTGTAGTATCATTTTCATTTTTYCCCCCAATATTTAAGCTATAATAATTCAAATGCATTTTTTTAGTTTTTTAAGTAATTTTTTGATATTTTGTTGGGCATTAATGATTAAAATCCTAGCCCTATTCATAAACCATAACCTATTCAGTGTATATTACTATACCTATTAGAAAATATATGTTATATATAAATATATGTGCCCCTGGAAATATGGATAATTCAGGTAGTTTGCAAAACGCCTAGACATTTATGAATATTGATTATTTTTAATGCAATATGCAAATCCACTATTTGACACTTTTGACACTTGGTTTTAAAAAAAAATTTTAAAAATCCTTGGCCAGGAAATATGCATTTTGTTTTTCCTTGTACAACCAGCATATAACATACCTACGACAACAGAAATAAATTAACTAAAAAAATGGACAAATTGTGACAATGTATTTTTAATATTTTTCAAAAAGCATTTTAACAATGTATTAAGATTATATAATACCTCCGAATTATTTTTAAATTAAGATGAAAATTGTAATCTTTATTGCGTCAAATTGTCACACACGGTTAGTCATTGGTAATAAGCAATACCCAATTTTATTTATATTTATTATATTTCCTACTCCACGTTTGGCATTATACATAATACCTAGGCAAAGCTCGTATCATGTATATGACCATTATGACGGAGTAATTTTTGGCATATTATATAATGTATATATCTATATCGGAAACTAGTTAGATATTATGGAATGAATGTATTATGTTGATCCAACATACTAAGTAAACAACAATTCCATGTATGTTAACCATTAAATATAAAATGTTTACAAAAATTTAACAAATTATATCTATGTTCAGGAAAATTAATATATGATCTAAATCTATAAAAAAAATAAATAAATAATTTCAAAACGATCAATTCTGTACTTGTGTAAAACTTTTTTACAATTCTTTAAAAGTTTAAAATGTATATTATCATTTATACCAAATTTATATTAGAATTTTTTTTATCGTTAATAATTTATTATTGTACATATAGTTATGTAATAATTATGGTATACATATAGTTATGTAATTATGGTATACATATTTTTTGTATGGTCTAAAGTGAATTTAAAATATAAATTGAACCTAAATGCACTATGAAGAAAATAAATTAGACCTAAGTTACTAGGACAACATTAGACTTATTGAGATTTCGCTTAATTTTTTTTGATGACATTATGTTTGTATTCTGCTAAGACCTAACATCTTGAAACCCAAACATATCTTACTCATTAAAAAAATATGTCATAATTTGTATTATAAAACTTAATTATTATTATAGTATATTTAATATTTATGCATCTACATAAAGCAATTATACATAACATATCATACGGTTGTTTTGGAGTATCCCTGTTGGGTTGTTTCTTACATAATAACAGTCAAATTCAARTATAAAAAAGCTTACATATTGCAAAAATCAAATAAACAACAATGACATTTTATAAAAATCCTATCACAGAAATTAATATCATACATTTTATCAATATATAATATATAACATAATAATTAAAGTGGCGTACTTTGTGAAGGATTAGGCATAATAATCAACAACCCAATTTTTTTTTATGTTCCAATTTTGTCTGAAATATTTTTTTTTTATCAAGTCAGTTAAGGTAAACCAATTCCTAGATGAAAGACCTCTTATAAAATGTATGTCTAAGTACGCCACTATACAATTTATTTGTATTAGTTAAAATAACATTGAAATAACATTTTAATACAATATACAAATAATAAATCACTAAGTTAAGAAAAACTTAACTTTAAWTAAGCACCTTTTTTTTTACTCTGTTAATGTCAAAATTAATATAACAAATAAAATTAAATCCTACAAATGTGAATGCACAACATTTTTTGTTTTGTGATAGTTAAAATTAATAGTAAATAAATTAAATAAGCATATAAATAGTGAAATAAGTTAATTTAGTGAACTTTGTAAATGTATACTATTTTTAAGGTGTCGCTGTATAGATTTTTTTTCAAYTAATTCCAAAGCATTTAAATCTGGTCTTAAAGTACACAACCATGATATGAATTCATCATAACTTGATTTGCAAGAAAAATGCACAACCCAATCATTGCAGCTATCTTCTAATGTAGCATCGTAACAGGACCACTCCTTGTTTATGAAATATATCATAAATATTTTAACTTATAAGAGTTATTAATTTTAAATGAAAGTATACTTATTATACTTACAATTACAACATAAAAGTGTGATGGTGAAGGTGATAATTTCAATGAATCCATATTGGTTAATAACATGCTGTCTGTGATTGTATTAGGAAAATTGTACAAAACTATATGACTATTGGTCAATAAACAACAGTATCCATCAGGTAATTTGGATTCATCATTTAAGATTTTATGCTGAAAATGAWATCAACAGTAAAATATTTTTGCACTATAAGATATTAAATATAATATAATATTCATCAATGAATTGTTTAATTAATATAACTTACACCTGTCATAGAATAGCTTAATGCATTAAACCATTTTTCTTCTTGACTACAATCAGCAGGTGCCAAAATGATAGGATAATTAATTAGCAGAATTTCAATTGCGTGCGGTCGATCACAGCGAATTTTTCTCACTTTTTTACAACGACCAAATCTTAAAGGTATAGATTCACACGGTAACATTTGATCTGCATGTTCATATATGTATAAAATATCTTCACTAAAACAAAATTTAAGTTAGTTATTTTAATTTATTTCATTAGTAAGCATATTCATATTTAAATATTAATTGTTTTACATATGGGTTTTGGCTTGTTTTAAATTTAATGTGCAATGAATATATTACAATACCTTAAACGTACAAATCTTGGTTTCCATATAGATCCTTTTTTAACCATTAAAAATTCTTCTAAATGAGATTTTAAACTATTTGAAGATTCACTTTCTTTATAATACCACAACCATGTATAATATTTGATTTTTTCATCCTAGAAAAAAAATATATTAATTTAATACCATCAAACTTTGTTGAAATTATTAAGTATGAAGATATACCTAACCTTAGGTATTGAAATTTGACATTTTACAGCCTCGTATAACTTTTCATCACAGTTAATATTTATGACAACAAATGCATTATTAGAGTCATAAAGTCCACTATGTCTGTAAGCATATTCGAGACTGCCAATCATTTGTAGTGCTGATTGCACATCTATTGCTGTTATTAAGGTACACTTTTTTGATTTTTCGCTAACAAAGACTGCAGTTTGATCACATGGGCCTAAGGCTATTAGATCTAGGCTTGTAAAATTTGAACTATAAAATATTTCTAAACGTTTGGTATACACATTTTTAGTTAAAACACAAAACCTAATATTAGTAATAACTACAAATAAAGGCGATCCACCAGTGCTTAGCATTCTATAAATCTGAAATAAAATAATAATAATTAGATTAGATTTATGGAAGTAAACTATTTGGACTTACTTTATAAATAGATTCTTTGGTTTTTAATAGTAAATCTCTTTTAATTATATTAATCAGTTGGTTGGATCCAACATCCAAATGTTTACTCCAAACATTAGTCCACTTTTTTTCCTTCATTTCCTGTTCTATTTGGTTAAAAACGACTTGTTGAGAATTGAGATCGACGTTTAAACCGTTCATGTAAAGAGAAGGAAACTTTTGTTTTTTTGATTTTAAAACTGAACCTTTTGATGATGCTTCATTTGGTTGAGGGTCTTCTTGTCCTTCAGGCGCTTCTCTTTCACCACATTCTCCAATTCGTATTTGAATGAGATTGCCATTGCTGGGTTCAATAACGTCTTCGTGAAAAGATACTCTTTTTAGTCCAACCACTGGATGCACCTGTTTAGTGTTGGACCGTCGGTGGACGATCGAATCTGGCGAATAGGCCGACATCAGTGAAATGTTTACATCGGTAWCAAACAATATTAATTATKACTAACTAAAACGCATTAAACTAATTAAACAATGAATACAATAAAAGTGAGTTAACTAAATTCAACTAATACAGAAAAAGGGTTAAACTCCATATCTTTATATTTGGTCACATTTGTTGTCTTTGATAATGAAATCTGTGATAAAGTATAATTGATAATAAACCTTGGGAGCAGGGTCAACTTTTGTCATATCATATTGTTCTGTGGTCATATGTTGCTATCTCGAGGACAAATGTTAGTATACTTATTACTTATCTATGATTATTACTTATTAAGCTATAATTATTACAATACTGAAATTGCTAATATCTGTGAAAGTAATAGAGTGCAATAATTTAAAAACTAACATCCAAGTTAACAAACAACCGACAAATTACTAAATACAATTATTATTGTTTCAAAAGTAAAATGTTGAGCCTAAGACTTTTTCGTCAAACCAAATGTAAGTATTCTCATCATGTTTAAGTTATAATCTACCATGATCAATTTTCTAATTTTATTTGTTCACTTATGGTATATATTTGTACAGGTTCAATGTTTGCCGCCCAAAGACCAATATCGTTTAATGCACTGTCAAAGTGTGTGAATCGATTTAATGTCACCAGTCATTTGGGCAACAAAACACTAACTGTAAGTGAGAATTGTAAGGAAAACAAATTGGATTCAATAATATTCTAGATGCTTTATTTTGTTTTAGAAGCCTTTATTGACTGCTCCAATGATAACACGTTTCACTGGAAGTGCTGCTGCTGTTAAGACTGGCAAAAATTATGCTAGTTTGTGGAGAACCGAACGTATTGTTTCCATAGCACTTATGGGATTGTTTCCTGCCTCAGTATTATATTCATCACAAATAGTTGACACTTTATTAGCAGCAAGTATTAGTCTCCATGTTTACTGGTAATGCCATATTTTTTAATTTAATTGTATAGATTTTTTTTTAGGAATTAATGCCATTTGACTTTTTGAAATATTGGCCAACTTAGATATTTAAGGCAGTTAGTGGCGTATATAGGGGAAGGGGGCTAGTGGGCTGCAGCCCCTCCCGAAATTACAGTCTTAACTGTTAACTATATTGTAGTCTCTAGGTGCAAGATAATTATTGTTAGTCGCTATATATTATAGCCGACCCCAAAAATTATTACTATATACGCTACTGAAGGCAGGGTATTATTTATAATATTGTACATTGGTTTTAAAAATATATTAATTTTTAAGCTAGATGAGCAAAAACAATTTTTAAAATGCTCATAGATCGATTAAAAATTGAAATATTGTAAAAAATCAACATAATAAATCAAATAATGTTCTTACCTTATCCACTCTAATATAAATTAAATTGCTGATATAAATTTGTTGGATGGAGACAAAATAGGTTTATTTAGTAAAATCACTTATCTAATAGAATTTTTATAAATTAATGTCAACTAGTATAAATATATTTTTTTGAAATATCAGGAGTTTAGATATTTATAACATGAAATTTAATTAGTAAATTCTTTATATTTAAACCGGTTACCTAAAAATCAGTGTTTGGAAAGAACGTTGTTCATGAATACACGTTCATAGTTAGCTCGATGATGTGCGAATGTTACTTGCTCTAAAAAAAAATAGACCGTAAATGTGATCAATATTTATGTTTTTAATGAGTTTGAACAATTTTTAAGACTCAATTTATTTACTATTTAATAAATGTATGTATATAATTTAGACACTTTAAAAAATTTATATGGTTTATGTCTTAAATGTTTATGGGTTTTTATATAAACTGCTGCTAAACTATTTATAAACCAAAAATTAGATAAACAATCTTATGAACGCATTCATCTTTTCAAAGAATGTGAATGTGAATGCGTTTGTTTGATAAAAATATGAACATGAACAAGTTTCTTTTTTTAAAGACTGAATGTGAATGAATTAATTTTTTTAGTGAACGTTCCTATCACTGCTAAAAAATAATAGTGCTTGAACATTATAAAATATAAATATTAGCAATAATATGTTTTTTGAAAAAAAAAATATTTAATTATTATCTATATACCTAAATATTTTTATTTTATTTTTAAGGGGACTTGAAGCATTGGTAGTTGACTACTTACGTGTACCAGTTGTTGGACAGCTGGCTAACAAATCTGGACATGCAGCTGTTGCTCTTCTTGCAATTGTCACCTTGGCTGGATTTTTGCAAGTTATTTTTGTTGGTGATGGACTTGGTAACGCCATCGTTCAGCTTTGGAAGTTGTAATATTACTTAATATTTTTTCATGTAGTGTAACATGTAAATATTCCGTTGAATTAAATCTTAATTTTATCTTTTTGTTTGTTGTATGAAGATGTGAAGTTCAGTTATAGTTACAAGCAATAAAAAAATTATTACATACATAATTCATTTTTGTACACATTTTATCCTAATAACATCTAAAATTATGATTTATCATTGGAATTTCAGATTTCAGAATTACAATTTCTTTTTATTCAGTAAAATCCTATAAAATGAGATTCTGGACCCCTGATAATTTAATAAATATGGTTATCTGGACGGCACTTAATGCCATTTATATGAAAATAGTTTGCTCGAAATTCACAGAACACAATTAATCTATAGAATATTTTTATTGACAATAATTTTTTCATTTTTATTAGATTATTACCCACTGTCGTTATTTGAGACTGTCAACAGTGAATCGATTATCAGTTTTTCTAATAGCTCTTTGTAAACAAGTAACTAACTTAAGATTGAAAAGTTGAAATAATTATGTTGATAGAGAATTACTCAATTACCAGAATTATTGTATGATTCTTGAGAAGTATGAAATAGGTGAATTGACTGTGGGTGTCATAAAGAAAAACAAAGAAAATTATGAATTTTGTTAGCACTACTGAATGTGGTCCTGGCACATGTAAAACTTTAAAACAAGCAGAAAATCCTATTCTTGCATAAGCTTTGTAATATGGTACATTCATATAGGTGTTGGGGGAAATTTGATATACAATATTTAAGCTACTTCTATTCCTACTATTTCATAAAGGTTAAAACTGTTAAGAGGACACCACACCCGCATGTGTTGTCTCCGTCTTACAAACGTATAACATGGCAAAATCTGTTTAGCGCGGGACAACTGTTCTCCCTCAATATTTATAATAGAATTTTCAAAATTTCACAACGCATATTTAAGAACTTTATCTGTCAGRTATCATAGCGTCGTTATTTTTTTGATAGCACAAACCAATAATTTTAAGTAATTTAATAAAAAAATAAAAAATAAATGTATTTTCTTAAGCTTATAACTTTAATTATATTTATGTTATCAAAAAAATAACGACGCTACGAGATATTGAGGGAGAACAGTTGTCCCGCGCTAAACAGATTTTACCATGTTACGCACTTGTAAGACGGAGACAACACATGCGGGTGTAGCCCGCTTACTGTGGCCTTTAAAGTCTTAGTAGTCAAAAGATATAACATACCAGTATACCACATTATATTATTATGCATTATGCATTATGTTTGCCGTTTGGTATGTATATCGTCTAAATATCGATCTTAGTAATCCGTATTGGGTTTTCGATCCTCACTCATAAATTATTGCAAAGCCATCAAAACATATTTTCATATCACAACTTCAACATTATTATTGATCAATATATTTACYGATATTATACTTCACTCAATAATAATTTAATGTTCATAACATTTTACAAGTTACAACTTGCTATATGGGTAACAAATTAAAATAAAAAAGCTGAATAACATATTAAGTTTGATATTGCTTAATAGGAATACGTATAATAAATTATTTTAAGACTATTTTCCTTGTTTTTGTGCTTTAGTCATCTAACTCTGATTCTGTTTTTATGTTATTTGCCTCTCAATATTTAAAACTGACAAGTCAAAAAACCTTATTTATTATAAATGTTATAATATAATATACACTTGTCCTCACTAATTTTTAATTTGTTTCATACTAAAGAAACTGCGTTCATATGTTGTAACTTGTAAAACTTTTTGGAATTGTAACTGCAATTTGAAATAACTTATATAATATGTCGGAAAAAGTCACTTTTTGATTCATTTTTTAATATAAACGTTAAATTATWAAAAAAAAATGTTCCATTAAATAAAAATAAAAACAGCTCTTCTACATTATTGTTAGTATTTATTTCAGGGTTTATAAAACAGAGGGGCTGCTAAGCAAAAGCATATTTAACGTCTCAAAATCTTAACAATAATWAATAATAAATAGGTATGCCAAATACATGTCGGACATTTGAATCGTATTGCCGCCAAAATACAAATRATCCAAAGATGTTATAAAGTATTAATATATRTTATCAACTTTAAATTCTGATGTGATAATGTATAATATATCATATGGAGAAGTCAATATCATTATAACTCTTTTCCGACCGTAACTCTACATTTTTCAAGTAAAACCTAACCCGTCGTTAATTAACGTTGGATCTTTCCATTGATTTAAATCTTTGCAGATTCGCCATTTCCTCCGTTCATAATGAGTCTTGTAGCGAAATTAATTGGTAAACGGTACATTACCCAGTCAATCAAGTAGTAAGTAAAATTTTTTAAATATTTAAGAGTAGACAGTAATAGATTAGTTAAGGTGATTATTATTCTAAGGTCAAATTTAGGTTTCATTATATTTGTATAATGTGATTTTAAAGTAAACTTATATGGCTCAACTATAAATTATTCTGTTATATTTTTCAGCGTTCCTAGCGCAGGTTTTTATGGCGCTACAGGATTCACCCTCTTGTGTTACTTTACTGATTGGAAATTGGTATTGCAATACGTGCCATACTACAACACAAAATTTCCAAAGGAAGTGGCAGTGGAAGAATAGTCCAATAAACAATATGTAAAACAATATAGCGTTCTTAATATCTGTTAAAATAAAAACAGTACATTTGATCAATATGTATCTACTAATTGGTAGGTTTTTTTTTTTGTGAAGGATATTATGTACTATTATTTTAAGAATTGTTAAATAAAATACCAATTATAATTAGCCTTTAAATAATTTCTACTTACCTTGAATTAAAACAGTRTAATTTGTTATGAACCATAATTCTTAGATGACTTTAAGCACTAACTACTAAGTATATTTTATAACAATCAATTTGTGCTACTTATGCTGAAGAAATATAAAAGAAATCTTTTATTAAATTTTCAAGTTGTTTTTACTCATAACTATTTAACTATCATAGGTACATAAATCATAACTTCAACAAAAATTATATTATGTTATATTTTCCAAATAATTTAATATTTATCATGTTTGGAAAATTTCAACATTAATATTTGGTGAAAAATTCTAGTCTGTTAATATTGTATTAACAAAAAAACAAAATTCATGTTTTTCTTAATTATTTTTGAAGAGTATTTTAAATTTTTCCAGCATAAGTTCAATTGTTATTGAAAGATTACAAAATAATTATTGTATGATTACTGAGGTTTGGAAGTTATAGGAGCCAAAAATGGTAAAATAGTTAAAAATAATATATATATTTTCATTATTTTTAAAATTAATTTTTTGGTCAGCTTTAAATGGAGAGCATACAAAACAATTATGCAACTCCCATAACTTCCGAACCTTAATGATTACCAAATACATCTATTCAGAATCAGAAATTAAAACATGAATAATATCAAGTTAGGGGACGAGGTGGCCGAACAGTCTAACGCGTCGGCTGTGGCTCAGCCGGACCTGGTTAGATCCTCGACCATCAGGCAAGTCACGGTATCCGGAGAACAAGTRCCGCCATCCCCCACTCCGGGGCTTGGCAGAAACCTACAGGTGCCCCAATAGAAATTCTGCCAAAACTCTTACCCACGTGTAACCAACCTACGGTTTCATAAAACCTATAGTACTCAGTACTACCCCCTTCCAAATGGCCTTAGTTGCCGCGGGATAATTAAAAAAAAAATATATCATGTTAGTATTATAAATATACTGCAATGAAATTTAAATCATTTAAATAAACATCCCTTAATAAGTATTAATTTATTGCTGTTATGATTGAGTTATTAATAAATAATAGATAATATATTGATTGTTGCACGACTGAAGAAGATGAGTGACATTTTTGTTATTATTGGTTAGTGGAGATGTAGATGTATCTTAATGTGACACAGTGCATCAGTTTGACTATTTTATAATGAGTTATTGAATTTTTTTTAAAKTTAGGRTWCAAGTGACCGTTATATGTTAAGTTTAAAACACTGGTCTAAGTAATAWTTCTTGGGCTCAGAGTAAATTAGCATAAATTATAAAAAATTGGGTTTTTGCTCTCCTAAAAACCTTGACATGTCGCTTATCTCCTTTTGTCGTGCAACCATCAATATGCTTAGTATACCAGTATTATCATGAATAATCAGTTTTAGTTGTACTTTATGATATTAATAATGTAGAATTATAGAGTTCTTCAATTCAAAAATATTGTGACAATACATTACATAAATTTCATATTTCCTATGCAATTATCACTTCAGAACCACTACAATATAGTCATACAGATGTGAGTTTGACAATTAAGAGGACGCTACACTGGCATAATGTTGTCTCCGTCTTACAAGTGCGTAACATACTAAATTTTATGCTTAGCAGATCACGTTTAGCTCCGTTAGTTTAAAATTTAGAGTAAATTGACCTCTTACAAAAATTAAAGGTAACATCATTATCGAGGGCATAACGTAGGCTTTTTATTATATTTTAATTTTAAAGTGAGTTATGAGTATTTTGAGATATACAAACTATTTAAAATTTTAAAATACACATCTCACTTTAAAATTAAAATATAATAAAAAACCTACGTTAAATCTACGTCATGCCCTCGACAATAATATTACCTTTAATTTTTGTAAGAGGTCAATTTACTCTAAATTTTAAACTAACGGAGCTAAACGTGATCTGCTGAGCATAAAATTTGTTATGTTACGCACTTGTAAGACAGAGACAACGTATGCGGGTGTAGCGTCCTCTTAAGTTTTTGGACATGATTAGTTATATCAAGAAACAAAATTTTTATATGCTATATTATCCTTAAAAGTACTCATCACTTAAATAAAAAAAGAATAAGCCATCAAAATGTATTATATGGAACCTATTAACCAGTACTTTAACTTTGAACAGACAATAAAAAATACTTTTGCCTTACATTAATGATAGGTAATTGATATGCAAWATGAATTCTGAAAAAATCAAATATACATTTTGTTGATTTCAGCTCAATAATGTTACATTAAGATTAAATAACAAGTTAATAATTAGTGGTCAGTAATTTGGTGTCATCATTAAACGATTAAGATTAATACTTAAATACATTTTATTAAAAAACTAAATTTTGTTTGATTATCAAACCACAAATTTTAATTGTGAATATAATATTACTATCTATATATATCTTGTCAAAAAATGCAATTCATTTTTAGTTATCAAACTTAATATATCATAAGTATTCAAAACTCAGAAATAATAACAAACATACATCTATTTAAGATTTTTTTTTGTTTTAAAGATATTAGCATGCTGTAATTTTACTGACTTGCTCTGGAGGAGTCTGGAAGTAGATTTAAGCAATACTCAAGAGCAAATGTGTTCACACATTTAATACAATTTATCATTGTATTAACACTATTAACTAATAATTAAAAAAAAAAATATATGTATATTAAAAATCAGTTATTTTGTAGGAAAAAATGCTTTAATATGAGCGTTAAAATAGATTTGAAATAATGTAATAATACATAATTTTTTTTGTAAAATTCAATTACTTATTTATGATAAAAATATAATAAAAAAAAAAAAAAATAGTTTTTATCAAATGGCCATTTTTTGTATACTCCATAGGCCATAAGTCATAACATTAACAAAATTAATATGAATAACATTTACATTTGATTGGACTAAATTACTGAATAAAAAAAAAAAATTAAATTAATTAATAATCCGTTAGACATACATATCACGTGGTGGATGATGGAGTTGAACTTGAGTTGAATTTAGGCTGAATAATAGAGGTCTTACGTGCTGGAACTGTTTCTGGTGTTGGTATGGTATCTCCAGTACCAAAGCCCAACACTTGTTGCACAGGACGATTATTAATCAATTTATTACCATTGCCTGCCTGTTTGGCCATTTGATAATCACCGGAGTCAAAAAATTTTTGCTGAAAACCAAATTAACATTTTCTTAATTATATAGATAAAAACAAACAACTCAAAAAATACACAGAATATTACTATACAATAAATAGAGTATAATTATTTGACATTTTCTAATAGAATTTGAATACATCATAAATAAACTTAAAAGTATAMACCATTGTTTAAATTAACAAAATGTCATACCTATACCTGACAACATAACATAAAAAATGTTCTACTAATTATTATTTAATATTAAATTATTGTAGTAAGATCCATTAAAAACAATTAAGTCAAAATTCAATGTAAAGAAAAACATAATTTTAGTAAATATCAAGATATTTAAAATAACTGGATGACATTATTGGACCTGGCTTAATATGACTCAGTGGTTCTTAAACTTTTTTGGTTCAGCGCCCCTTTACCGAGATAACTAACGGCTTATACGCCCCCTCTCTTTCCATACCTTAATGTATCAATTTTATAAATTAAAATACAAATTCATAATGTTTAGTAAATTATAAATATTTTATTTGACTCTAATTTAAACATTTCTATACAAAAAGAAATTGCATAATACGATAATATGTATTAATTGACACGGGTATTTTTAATATTGTCCATTATTCCGCATTTTAGAACTTACCATCCCCCAAACAAACCAAAATATTCTCTAGGGGGTAGTAGTACTTATACAGTATCTTATACATTTAAAAAGTTGCTTAAAATATTTAATTTTTGATATATTTGATTCACTTTAAATGTGTAAGTTTTGTGTTTAAGACAGAAATATAAATTTTTTATTAAAACTTTCAGTTTGTTGAAATATTAAAATCACTAAAAGAGATTATGATCGGTTGCACTATGCCGTGTTGCAATAAGTGACTGCTGSAGTTATAGAGGTGGTTTGTAACAAAAATAATAAGATTTTAAATACAGTAATCCCTCATTATCCATGTTTGAGTCTGCGATAACATTTTATTGTTATTATAAGAACTCTGTAGGTAATTTATTTTAGAAAATTGTAAATAATTGTTATTATATTGTTAGGAATAACATATAATTATACAACTATGTTTATATGTACTGAATGCACAGATAAGCATTACATTATGACTTGTTTTATTTTCTTATATCGTTAATTTGTTCAGTGTTTTTTTCATCATTCATAATGTATGTATGATTGATGATTAGTAAATTATTTAATAAATTAGTATAATAAAAATAATAATTAATCAAATACATAATTGTAAAATATACTAACCTGAATGTGATTTTTAAAATTAAAAACAATGTACTTTTTTACATTGCTTTATGGTCTTGTTATCTGCGTAACTTTGTGAAATGTAACTTCCGCAGATAACAAGGGATTAATGTAWTTCTAAACAACTAACACTAGACAAATAATGGTCTCCTTAACATCTTRATTGCATAAAAACAAATCATATAATTATAACAATGTAAAATTACATATTATATAGATATTATGTAAAATTTAAAACTTTACTTTAAAGGTAAAAAATTATCGTGTGACGGGAGCTACTTTTAAATGTATAAGTTGGGAAACAATGGCGAATCCAGTCTAATGACATCACATAAKTAAAAACGTCAAACCTTAAAATTAAAAACTAATGAAATATTAGTATTAACAAGCTTGGGGTAAAAATGAGTTAAATTAATTTTAACTTTTTCATTAACTTAATTTTTAATGATATTAATTAATAAATATTGAGTCAATTTTAATCATATCTAAATTACATAAATTTATAAATAACTAAATAATAAATATGATACAATTACTATTGAAGATGCATATAGCATATAAACATTAAAATAATAATTAAATAAATTAACAACTTAACTTGAGCCTCCAACCTATTGGCCGTGTTATGGTATAAATATAATATAGTAAAAGGCAAAGTACAAACAAAGAAAACAGTTTTGAGGAAACATTTTTTGTATCATAAATTATTTTTAAAGGTTACTACAGTTATGGGATATAGTAAAAACGACCGAGTATAAAATAAAAGGTAACTGGTATTAACATCTGATTAACTTTATTAGCTTTCTCAACTCTCCAATTGAAAAATCCTGGGTAAGCCACTACCATAAACTTTCTTCTTTTTAAAATGTCTTATATCAACTCAACTAAAAATTATCATTAAATAACCTAGGTATTACCTAAAAATATTAATATATAAAACCATTGTTTCTCTATACGTACCTACTATCTACATACCTTTCTCTAWACCTAACCTACTCTCGGTGGCTACCATTTTTTGTCTGCGACAGTTAGAAGTTTCCCTCACCTAGTAAAACAACAAAAGCTTGTTGGGCTAGCGATGTGGAAGGAAGTCATACCCATGAATAGAAGTCGGCCTCCAAGGTACAATATTGTCAACTTCATTCCGAATAGAYTATAGATATATATTTTTTATTTGTAATGTTGTTATAATTTTAATGTTAAATAGATTATATAGAAATAATTATTAAAGTATTAAATCATACAATTAAGTTTTATGTACAAATTGAGCTGAAAATTTTATCTAATTATTCAAAATTTWAAAAAAAATAATATTATAATACAACATGTTATTGAAATAAGTATTTAAAATTAATTTTATTCAACTAGATATTAAACGTTTGAACTTATTATAATCTATTAAGTTRTTCATACCCCTTTAGCTAAACGTTTTTGGAGGAGGGCAGAATGGCCACTGACTGGAGGCCAATTTGATTTCATTTGATATTGCTTCTTCATGCACTCTTCTTGAGCTTTTTCAACATCTTTGGGGTCCTAAAACCATCGAACAAGAAATTACTTGTCAATAAAAGTAAAATATAGTCTAATTATTCAATCACACAATTCTTACCTTGGGTTTGCAAAATTCTGGATTTTGAATTTCATTTGGGTTTTGATCGGCCATTGCTAAAACAACTGAAAATAAACAATCACGGATAAAAATTATAGTACTATATACCAACAAGAAACAATCACACTATTACTTAAAGAATTTACATTTTGAAAATCAAAGATTACCTACATCTTATTATCCAAATGCGCCCACTCCAATTCAGTACAATTGAAAATWAAACCGCGGGAGAGCCAGACAAACAATATGAAATGGCGGATACTATAGCATTGAATGACTCGGTAGAGGGAATAGTAATAAAAATATGGATATATTAACAATCGTGTTGTACTTGACCTCGGATCGGCACATAAGCGAAACAAATATGTAACAATAAAACGAAAGGACACAACCGCGGGGCAATAAGTTGACAGCAATTTTTTTTTTTGTATTCAATAAGATCTCGAAAAGTTGAATAGTATTGCTGGTGATGAAAATTGAGTCGCAAGAACTTTCATTTTGGTATGATAATAGGTTGTAAACATTATTACCTGAGCTGCACGTGTGGTAGTGAAGGTGATGGCGGTATCCGCAGGTGGACCGTTGACGGCGGTTTGAGAACAAAAAAAAACAATAATTGCAAACACTTAGAACACGCACGACTAGCGAATAGTGATAGATTGGTACTGGCGGTACAACAACTGCCTACTGCAGTCTGCAGGTGAAGAGCTGGAAAAGTTGGCGGGTAAGATGTGTGACTGTGTGAGTACTGAGACTGAACAGCCAATCCTCTTAAACTAAAATAGGTATAATATTATTTCACGTTATTATTATTGTCTGTTGTTTCATCTGTTTATCAGCAAAAATACGATAAAGCCGCCGTCGTTTGTATTGTATTATTGTTGTCGTATGGGAGCCGCGCAAACTTCGGCAGTTTGGAGTACGAACAACGGTCTATGAGTTGCGCAGTAATATTGTCAGTTGGCACTAGCGCGTGCAATCAAGGCAATTATCCGAATGGTATACAGTACAAAGTACAATAATTGCACCTATTTATACGTCTTATATATCTGTATGTATATCTTAGCAATGGAAATTATACAAAACAAAACTTGAGCAGCAGCTGCTGCAGCTGATGTTGTTGTTCTGATAGCACTAGACAGCGCTCCCGGTGTCTTTCCCGGCGACTCGCGGTGACATAACCTCGAAAAACATAGCGGTTCGTCCTGACAAGAATCGTGCGTCGTGCCGTAGCACACTAGCACGTAGTTTACCTGTAGTTGTTGTTGCTCGTCCTGTCTGCCTGTTAGACGTTACTACGTTAGTCGTTGTAAGTTTGTTACTCGTCTTGTTCTTGTGCTTGTGGCGTCTGCTGAACAGGCTGAAGAAGACCTGTGTACAATTTTTTATGTTACCGTTGGCTGCATTCCTGGCCGCAATTAGTGACTGGTATGGAGTTTAGATTATTTTTTCGTAGAAAAAATAGATCCGGAAATCGGGTTTTCTATTACATTTCCATCACCACAGATGCCGATCTAATCATTATTTTTTATTCTTCATTCTTTCTACAGGGTTAAACGTCGTCCCGTGGACGCTTGGTGTTCAGTTATTGTTGAATATGGAAAGACCCGCAGTCGAGACAGTCGTAACCGAGCTGGGCAACTTACTCCGGAAATGGGAAGAAGAAATGCCGACCCCTAACTACAACCCTATACCGACGTTAACAAAGTAATTTAAACCTTCATAACATTGATAATAGATCATTTTTTCAATTTTGATAAATTAAGCTTTGTATATAAATTCTTTGATAAGTCTTTTTTAATATTTTAAAGCTTTATTCATGGTTATATCTTACCTAATACTATTTCTAAGCAAATTAATGATACTTGTTCCTATGCTAAAATACGACTACGAGTATGAGTTTCTTATTTATAAATCTTAACTATTCCAATACCAGAATTTTTTTCAGTATTCAACAAATTAATAAAATATTTATTTTTCTGATATTAGATGTATTAGGGTAATGTCATTAATTTTATGATTTTAATTTTTTCCAGATTATGTGAATTATTTGAAGCAGAATCAAAAAATTATCTTAAAAAAGACCCAGATCCTTTTGATGATCGTCATCCATCTCGAATAGATCCTACTTGTTCATTGGGCCAGATGTATAAGATTTTGTTTCGTAAAGATTCTTTAATGAATAAGGTAGATATTTAAATATATACATATTTTGATGTTATTAAATTTATATTTATAATTTACATTTATCTATACCTACTATTAAAATATTTTCAGTTAGTAATGGATTATTTGAAAGAACATCATTGGCCAAGACGAACTAAAGATAACCACGATTTAAATGTTGTCGCATGTAGGCTTATACTGAACCTCATACCCGGTTTAGAAACAACTGTTGTTTTTGAAAGTGTAAGTAATCCTTTAATTTATAACATTATTATTGTTTGGCAACTTATAAAAAAATAAATTATCTAGCCTGCAAATGATCAACTTATTCAAAGATTATTCACTTGGGCAGAAAATAATAGTGAACCATTACAAACTTATGCTACTGGACTATTGGCATCTTGTATGGAGTTGACAGACATTGCTGCTAATTTCAAGTGAGTATTATTATATATAGACATATACCTTAATGTATGACTAAAATATAATTTTAAATTATTTAGAGAAGATAATAATAAACTTGTACCAATTATATTGGATCGTCTACATTCATATTATACTCAGTTTTGTGAAGAAAATGAAATCAATCAAAGCACACAGCCATATCAAAATGATCAGCCCAATGATGATTTAAATGCTCCATCTCCAAAAAAAAAAAGTAATTTTTCATTCTTAAAATAGATTATTTATAATATTTAATGAATTTAAAATAATAAAAAACTATTAACTGTATAGGTAGTAGATATTTAATTATATTTAGATATGCTTAAAATATTTGCATCATTTGAATCTCTTCAAAATATTTACAAAATATAATTAAAAAAACTTAATGACTGTTTAGTACAACATAAACTAACAAATATATACTCTATATTCAAATGAGAAGATAGCAAAGTTGAATATTTTTATCATTAAATAAGTGTTTAATTTGAGGACTAGGAAATCAAGTACAGTAGTCATCCGATAATTCGAAATTCAGGGAACCGAGTTAAAAATTCGATTTATAGAGGTTTTTGATTTATCGAGGGAAAAAAATATTTTTTCACTTGCTTCAACTGCCACTATTAATTTTTTTTTTGTCGGCTATCGAACACTTGTACTTAACGGTTTTTATGGGACCCATGTTGCGACATTCTACATTTTATTCAATTTCAATAATAGTTTAACTATTTCAGAGATTTATTTTGGTAAAATTATCATGTAATAACATTTATAAACCATAATAATATTTTACCACCATCAATATTAGTTTCATTACGAGCACGTTAAATAGACTGTACGTAATCTTTAAACATATGAACTTAAATATAATCTCGTTTGAAAAAATTTGAATTATAGAGGTTTGTGGAAAAAATKAGTTGTAGAGTATGCCTCACCGACAGACATTTCGAGTTATTGAGAGGACCGGAGTACATGTATTTTTTTCTAATTATATAGGTTTTCTTAGGAGACTTAGAGTTTAGATCGATTTATGGAGTTTCTTGAATTATCGAGTGACTACTGTAAATTTACTTACTATGTTAGGTACATTCCGTATAAAAAGGATTGTACCTAAGATTTTGATTTTTTCTTGGTTATTTTTAAAACAATAGAAATTTGTTCTTTCACCATCTATTGAGAAAATAAACAAGTTAATTTCAAAAACTATTAGAATTGTTAATTCTTAATATGGTTAATCAATCATTTTGAAGAAGTTACTTGATAAAAACACATGCTTATGATTATAAACTTATCTGAATATATTTATTTTATTTCATGATCTTTTGTTTATTAATGGACAAATGGTCTTTTAGTCTAGTGTTAACAGCTGATGTAGGGTCTCTCAGAACGAATGCATGTTTTTCAAAATTATGCTAGGTTAAAAGTAATTTCAGTAAAAAAAATTTTAGTTTATCAAAAAATGTAAAAACATGTAGTTTTTTATATTTGATAAGATTTAAATTTTGGAAATAATGTTAGGTATATGGTGCTCTTGAGCTGCAATACAGGAATGTAGGCGCTTGCGAAACAAGCCCATCACTTCGGTCAGCATCTGTCCCTGAGCTTCTCTCTCCCACCACTCGTTTGAACTCATCCTTCAATTCATCTAGGGTTCATGGTTTGTATTGATAGACTTGATTGATTTTATGTGATCCAAGGCTCCTCATGGAACTGTTATGGGTTGACTGAGGACCAGCAGTGACAATTTTGATTATTGACATCAACATTTAAGTGAAAATGAGAATCGTCACTCATTAACAAAATCATGCTATCCTTATTGTCGATAAGTTCAATCATGAGCTGAGCAATATTAACACATTATTGGTAATCACTTGCCAATAACTGTTGGCAAACTTGGATTTTATAGAGATAAAATGATAAATCAATTGTCAAGATCTGGCTCATTGGTCCTCAGGAGAAACTGCGAGTAAACAAATGGAACAGTTGAGGCTCCACAATGTGTTGAACCTTGCTCTATCCATTTTTCTAGTGTTCTAATAATCTAATTTTGTCCATTAGTTTCTTTCATCAGCACCGTACCTGTTGTGTTGAACGCTATGACCTATTTCATTATGGTATTGCGGTCACAAATCATTCTATGACGCGGAATATTAAAATGAGTTAAAAAATTTTGCTGCGTTTGTACAATAGATTTCTCAATTTTTTACACCATGTTGACAACTTAAGCTGAATCTTATGAGTTTTATRACGAGCTGTATTCCACACTGTATCCAACTTGAAGTATTAATAATCTTAAAAACATGTGTTGTTCTGACAGGGCCTGTATATATCTAACACTAGAACTTATTTATCACAATAATAGCAAAATAAAATTCTGAAGGAACAGAAAATGGTTTTTGCTGATAAAAAAAGATTTTGTTCCATAAATAATACTTTTTTAAATTAAAATATACATGTTTGATTCAATATTTTAAAAGAAGCCCCATGAATCTGTTCCTTTCAAACCCTTTTACTATTTTATTGTAATTGTTTAATCTAAAAATATATTTTAGAAAGAGAAGAAAATGGTATTTGTGGTGATAGTAATTCATCATCGACTGAGTCAAATACAAGCAACTGGATACAAATCTATCCACCTACTTTGACAACAAAATTAGTTTACTGTCTTAAATATTTAGTTCCAACCGGAGAATATCAAGAAGTAAGTATTATCTCTATTATACTATGATTTTCATCAAAAACATTTTTTAATAATTTGTTTTTAGTTTTTAAGCCATGCTTATGAAAAAAATGCACTTAACTTAGTAATGAAAATAATCAATTCTTCAGAAAAACAAAATGGTTATTTAACATTTGAAGCATTAAAATACTTAGCAGCTCTTTTATGCCATAAAAAATTTGCCACAGAATTTATTGGTTCGCAAGGATTACAAGTATGTTTTTTATATTATATGTAAATTCATTGGTGTTGAATGTAATTGTATTAGTTGTGGATTGTGATAGTTCCAAAAACCTACCTTTTCAACAAATTGAAACAGCATATCACTACAAAATTATGCATTAATGCATTATTGTTGTTAATCAAGTTATAAGCCACTACCAAATTAGGTAAAATAGTTAATTGTCATATAGCTTAAAATTAGTCTAAACATTATAAAAATTTTGTTGTGCATAGAAAATATTAAAATAATAATCATATACTTTATAGTTCAAGACTCTACTATAGTTGTAGGCAGGGCCAAAGGAGCTTCTTGTTATGCCCCCCAATTGTCTATTTTTTGAAGGTGGTATCAAAATCATAAATTCATATTTTTTAAACTAAAATTGCTACCAACATTTTAGTAAACAATTTATTTTATTATACTTGATGATATAATTTATATTAACAGTAG